GTGGCAGTGGTGGCGGTGGTGGTGGCGGTAGTAGTAGCAGTAGTAGTAGTAGTAGTAGTAGTAGTAGTAGTAGTCATCGTCGTCCTCGTCGCCGTCTTGTGTAGTGTGGTGTGACCCAAACCTGTGCAAGCATACGTAGGTCCAGGCTGGTGGAAATGCAGACTCCCTGCCACCACGGTGTGAGCATAAAAGCTGGGGTGTGGCTGGAAAGGCTTAGGCAAAGCCTGAACATGCCTGAACCTTGTTGCAACCGGCCGGCACACCGTCTGCCAGAAGAGGCGGAGTGCAGTCCACACAGTCAGAAAACATCTGTTCCGTCCATGGCGTCGGATCGCGACAGAGGGACACAGGCAAAGCGAAGTGCTGGACGACTTGGGACTTGGCCGTTCTTTGCTATGTTGCATGGCGTTGAGCGTGTCAATCGTGTTACCTTCGCTACTCAAATCGTGGAGCAAAAGTAAGAAGGGTCTCCTGGCTCGGAAACTGAGCCACCGAAGGAGAGCTTAGGACTTATGCTTCATGGTATACATAGTAGTTGATCTACACACCATGCCAGATAAAACGAGTGTGTCAGACGAAGATGCTGCAAGAGATACTGCAAGAATGCCTCCTCTATATTGACAGCCTCGGAGACCTCAGAGAATGCTGGTCGTCGCGGCGCTGTGACCGACGGAGGAATCTCGCAACCACTGCTGAACTGTGGAGGTGGCATCGTGAATCTTCGACGGGCTAGGGAGGACCTCCTTCGCGCGGGCGAAACATTCTTGGGAAGAGGAGCTATCGAAACAGCAAGTGTAGCCTCAGCGTGAGCTTTGATAATCAAGGAACCAAGCTGGCAAAGTGATAACGGCACGGCAGAAAGAACAGAGACAGCTGTGGCAAGCGGCCGTCCTCTACGCCAAAATCCTGCGATCGCATGAGGGAAAGTGGAAGTCGCAATATGAAACCCCGAAAGAAGGCAAGATGAAAGACTGCCATATGGGGGTTCCCAAAATAGGGGACCCTAATATAGCACCCCAAGTAGTAGGATCCCTATTATAAGGACCCCAAAATAAGGTACCCCTAATTTTCGGAAACCCCCAATATTGCAGGAGGGATCCGAGTCTTCTGACTTCTTGAAACTCGCTGTTTGATGGCAATCAGCAGCTGGCGTCCCACTCTTCGGGACGATCTTCAAGGTCCCTGCCTCACATGGGTGGTTGTCAAAATTATGGTCCCTTTTTGGGTCCTTATGTGTCCTTATTATAATACGGCACCTATGATTTAGGGTACTCAAAAAGGGACCATAATTTTGACAACAACCTACATGAAGCCAGACTTCGCTTTTGCGTAAGTCTGCTCGGAAGTTGAGTGTTTGTGGAACGACCCTCAAACACAGGTCCTGGAAACCGTCTGCCCACGGTTCGCGAAAGATCGCGAAAGTAGAGTGGTTCTCTCTAAAACAACACAACCTCGAAAATCCTCGAAACCCTTACATGCCTTACATCGCGAAATCCTACATCCAAGAGCCTGGACATCACGAAGACGTTTAGGGCTCAGGCGTGGTGCTTTGGGGCCTGATCTGTGGTAACTGCGGCTATTCAGGTGTAGTTTGCCTGAACCTGTCCAGCTCTCTCTCTCTCTCTCTCTCTCTCTCTCTCGCTCTCTCTCTCTGCTGTCTGTCGGGTGACATCCCCAAAGATATTCCTTCCTCTTCCTTGCTAGTGCTTTGTCGTTATTCTTCTTCTTCTGTTCGTAGCTGCTGCTTTCGTTAAGCGGCAAAGGACAGCTACTCTGACTGATGCTGCCCGAGCACAACAAGTACAAAATTGCGGCGAAAGCGGTTAAAACGACGAAGATGGCATTGACGATGTGCGGATCGTGATGCTGCTGGTGTTGGTGGTAGTGATCATCATGACAACGGCGTGATTGTGTGATGGTGCAAAGCAAGAAGACCTCTAGGCCCAACATGAACCTGAGCCCCGAACCATCAAGCTCGCTGGGTGCGATGGTGGACTCGTCAGCATCTGAGCAAGTGAATCCATCCGGCACGCGAGGTCGAGAACGGTTGTCCAACAAGTCACGTCCGCACCGCAGGTATCTGCCCCGTCTACCTGGCCCGCACTTGCCTGAGACTGATCGAGGCGGCGCAGCAGGCTGTGCAGAAATGGATGGTCCCACCTCAGTGATATTCAGCTGCTGATGTGTGACAACTCCCATCACACTGTCGATCACTGCCGAACATCGAAGTGCGCCAGCAAAAGTCTGGCATGGGGTCTTTCTTCCACTGGGGCAAGTGAGAACAGCACGGAACGTCCACCTGACATGCAAGTGCGGCTTCCACTAAGGCGCGCATGTGAGTCGTGCACGGCTGGAGTCTCGTTCGATATCTCAGCATAGCTGCCATCAGGCTACTTGTGCAGATTTCAACACCCCTAACCCGAACAGCTGCAAACCCGCAAGATCAAGTGCAACCCTTTGCCTGCAGATTTCGGGCTCCTGCGCAGTGTGTCTGTTGAGAAGATCACTCAGCTCGGCATACATCCCCTAAACCCCCCGCCCCCCCGCAGATGTCCGCAGGCGATCGACACCCTACCCGCAACGTTTGCGACTCTCGCATGGGGCTTCGGTGCTTTCTTGCCCTTCGTCCTGCCCTGTCAGCTTTTAAACTGTCACTCGTGTTCCTTGCAGAAAGTTACACCCCGTTGATATCCCTCGGTGTTAGAGGTCGCAGGCCAGCCGGCTGAGCGGAATGTGCTCGTCTTCTCGAGTATCGCATGAACGTCTCCGCGGCCGGACTTCGAAGGAACAGAAACGTGCTGCCGTGTGATCACGAGAAGCTTACTACTGCACGCTTCGTATGGCACAGTCTTTCTGCACGCAACACCCTGGCACGAAGAACAGCTTATCTGCAAGCTGCAAGGATCTGCAAGGATGCTGTCCTGGAGGGCACAGCGACCTTGGGAGCTGCATGCCAGCATTGGGAAACGACAGAGAGCCACACGCCTTATAAGATGGGCAGACGGATTGAGGTCTGAGCATCCTTCTTGGGATCCTTGCCCTGACCCGAAGCAAAAAAAATCGCTGTGCCAGCTGGGGCAGGGCCGAGTCGGACAGAGTGCCTCTTTTCCGAAGGCGCTTCTCCCCCAGTCCTTGCCATGTGCGCGCAAAACCACATGTCTCAACCGAGGTTCTCCCAGCACACTGGCCTCACCCGCAAACTGGCAGGTGCTGGCGGGTGCCGTTCGAGCCTCTTGAGCGCAAGGAAGGCTATCCCTCCGGGGGTCGCGTGCTGAACACTGCGGGAATTAGCAGAAGATGGGAGACTGCCCTGAGTGCCTCCAGACTCGTCAGGAGCGCCTCCTCCGAAGACTGCCCCTCAATGACCAGGGACACCTGGACCGTGTACCTTGCGGTTCACTGTATCTCTGCATCTCCATCCTGCCAGCCTTCCTGGCTCCGGCCTTGTGTCCGGCAAAAGACCCTGCACCTGACACACTTCTCAGATTCTCAGAAGTTTTCCGCAAACTAGGAAAACCTGTTGCATCGCCTCATGCAAAGGATGAGGGGTCCGGGTCAGTAAGCCATGTCAGGGTTTAGGGTTAGCAACAGAGGCAAGCTCTAAACTCACATGACCTCGTGGACGACACGGCCACCCCATCTGCACCAAGCGGTCTCCTTGCATGGCATGCTCAAGTGTAGGGTTTAGCATAGGAGCGGTTGCCTTGCACTTTCAAACCAGAAAGCCTTCTCAAAGCTCTTGCGACAGCACTTACTGAGTACCGCTATCATTCCTATTAGTGTGGCTCTCGGGCTTCTTCTTCTTCCTACTGCTGCAGATCTTACCCTGCGACTTTTACTTCAATACCAGCACCGGCAGTACCAGCATTCTCGGAAATGGAGGAATCAGAAAGCTCCAAGCTTCGTCTGACTCCTGAATCTGGACTACCGGGCCGCGGAGGTGAAACCCCCGCAGGGTCTCGAAGGCCCTCTTTAATATGATATAATATAATATAGTAT